CATGCTCTCCCCCACATCGTGAATGTTAACCAACTAAAAACCCCATACTACATGAGCATTTTGATAACCAAGAATACACCATGCCATCTCAATCTGTCAGACAAAATTGCTATCCTGGCTTCCTTGGCTACAAAAAAGTCATAGGCGACAAAAATGGCAGCAGGCCTTTAGATAGATGTACTGGCGAAGTTACAATTCAATTCTGCATTCCCTCAGTGCTCAGTTTACAAGAAAAAGAAGCAACAGACGACACTAAGTTCAGCATTCCTAATTCATCATCAGATCTACATATTAACTTTTATTTTATTTTTAATAAACCATCTGTGAAGAAATTTAAAAAAATATATATATAAACTTTATGACAAATAGTTAATTCCCAGAAACTCGTGGAAGAACTGATAATCCCAGACTGATTTGTTGTAAGAGGGCCAGTGCATTGGGTTTTGTGTTCAGATTTGTGCTAGGAAAACTGATCAAGTTGTCAGCAATGTGGTATGGAAGACAAAAAGAATGCTTTCCAGAACTCAGAAAATAACAATGTTGAATCTGTCTGTGGTTGTTTACACCGAGGGTCAGATAAGTAGGGCATAAAAATCCCACCTAATGCAGGTGAAACTGGAAAAAAAATGGGAAAATAATATGTAAAAAACTGGGCTGAGATTTTTTTTTTTATTACTAGGAAACTGAATACTGCAGAGTTTCTCCGTTTTGAAATAATAATTATTCTCTCTAAACAAGAGTATTTTATCAAAGAAAGAGCAAAGCACCTGAAGTAATTTTAAGCTTGTCTCAACCTGAACCACATGGGTAGCTTTAATTCTTTATGTTTGGCTCCTTTGACTTCAAATTATAACTTCTGAAAGAAAATCTCTGAGGCTGAAGTTAGAGGCCACATGGAGTTAGTGATCTTTTCAATGCATTTTATCATCCGTGAGTTCATGGCTTGGAGATCCTCTTTAAAATTCATCCCCTAACAAGCTGTCCTATGTATTTAGTATCAATACCCTCTGTATATATCAGAATGCATTTTTAAAATTATAAATTTTTCATCTACTTTTATGCAGCACATAATGAAACTTCCATCAAGATTAATCACAACCAAGATTGTGGTCCCATAACATGAAAACAGGACTAAAAAGTTCTTGGTGATGAAAATTATTATGCATGATATATAATACTCGATGATAAATGACCGTGTTGCTAGTAGGTTTATATATTTATTATACTACACATTTAGTTCTTTTAGAGTGTATTTCATCTACTTACATAAAAAGATTTACTGTAAAACAGCAGCAGCTTCAGACATATCTGGTTTACTATGTCTGTGGCTGCATTATTTTCTCTTGTGCTTAATTTAAAGTTATATTGCATCATTCATTATAGCATTAGGAATACTGGACTGTATTCCCTGTCTATCTAAGCAATCACAATCATATATATATATATATATATATATATATATATATATATATATATAGAGAGAGAGAGAGAGAGAGAGAGAGAGAGAGAGAGAGAATGTTATAATGTTATATACTTTAAGCATGTTTATTTGTTTACCCTCCATACATATCAAAATGTATTTTTAGAAATATGAATTATTTGACTGCATTCATCCACCAAATGACATTTCAATCAAAGCTTGATCAAACCTATGATTGTGGTCCCATAACATGAAAACAAAACTACAAGTTCCCCTCACCTAATGATGCCTTGGCTATCATTAATACGTAAACACAGCACATTACACTTGAGTATGTGGTAAAGTTGGTATAAAGAAATAGAGTGCACTATAGTGAAGCATGTATAATAATATACAAGTATGTGCTACGTGATGCTTTCACAAAGGTGAATCTCCCCAATGATACATATCTTCAAACATGTCTATGCCACATTAGTAATTGCAACGGTAAAAAAAAGTTGTATGAAAATATTAACCTGTGAACAAATTACTCATATTTTAAAATAAAATTAAAATTTATGTGCATGTTTGATGAAGAAGTAATAGCAATTTAGGAATGAAAGTACGACTTTTTCAGGTATGAAAATATATTGGATTCTGGGAGAATTCAATAAGTTAATAGCAATTCCAGTTTAAGAAAAAATGATGGACAAAGTCTAATTGCTAAACAAGAGCTTCTTCTGTCACCTTACCAGAAACAATCTACAGATTCAATGAAATTCCTGTAAAAATATCAACACAATTCTTTATAGAACTTGAAAGAACAATTCTCAACTTTATATGAAAAAAAAAACCAAAACAAACCCAGAATAGCAAAAACAATCATATACAATAAAAGAACTTCTGCAGGTTTCACCATCCTTGATTTCAAGCTGTACTAAAGAGAAATAATAATAAAAACTGCATTGTATTGGTACAGAAAAAGGTAGTCTGATCAATAGAATCAAATAGAAGACCCAGAAATAAATCCACACACCTATGGACACTTGAATTTTAATAAAGAAGCCAAAATCATACAGTAAAAAAAAAAAGAAAATTTCTTTAACAAATAGTGCTGGTCTTACTGGATGTCTGCATGCAGAAGAATGAAAATACATCCATATTCACCATCACCCACAAAACTCAAGTCTAAGTGGATCAAAGACCTCAACATAAAACCAGATACTCTAACTCTAGTAGAAGAGAGAGTGGTGAACAGCCTTGAAATCACTGGCAGAGGAGACAACTTCCTGAACACCAACAGCTCAAGTTCTAAGATCAACAATTAAAAAATGGGACCTCATAAAACTGAAAAGCTTCTGTAAGGCAAAGATCTTCACCAATCATACATCCGACAGAGCTAATACCCAAAATATATAAATAACTTAAGAAGTTAGAAAACAAGTAACTAAAAATGGGGTGCAAAGCTAATCAAAGAATTCTCAACAGACGAATCTCAAATGGCCAAGAAACACTTAAAGAAATGTTCAGCATCCTTAGTCATCAGGGAAATGCAAATCGAAATAACCCTGAGATTCCATCTTACACCAGACAGGATGGCTGTGATCAAAAACTCAAGTGATAGCACATGCTGGCAAGGATGTGGAGAAAGGGGAACATTTTCCCATTGATGGTGGGAGTGCAAACTTTTACAATCACTGTGGAACTCAATTTGGACTTAAAAAAAATAAGAATAGTTCTACCTCACGACCTAGCTATACCACTCCATATGTCCAAAAGATGCCCACCATACCACAGGACACTTGCTCAACTTATGATCACAGCAGCTTTATTTGTGATAAACAGAAACTGGAAGGAGCGAAGATATTTCTATTCTAGTATATGTTTAGAATAATTAATTGCAAAATGTCCACATTGCAACATTTTCAATACAACTTATGAAACATCAGAAAAATAAACTCAGGTATAAACTTAACAACATTCATGGTTACAGTTTTAAAATTCATTTTAGGTATTTTATAGTTACTGCTCTTCATTATGATAATATGAGTGATGATAAATGACTGGCTGGTGTCTGTCCTAAAGTAAATGCTTCTCCTGCCAGTTTTTCTTCAGATCACAGACACATCCATTATGCTTAGATTCTTACAGAACCATAGTGTTTAAGAAGGAAAAAAAAATGCTGAGTAGTATTCTGTTTTGTAAATGTACCACAATGTTTGTATTGATTCTACAGTTGATGGACACATGGGTTGTTTCCAGGTTCTGGCTTTTATGAATAAAGCTGCTACAAACATGGTTGAACAAATGTCCTTGCTGTATACTTGAGCATCTTTTGGATATATGCCTAGGAGTGGTATAGCTGGATCTTGAGGAATCACTATTCCTAATTTTTCTGAGAAAGTGCTAGATTGATTTCCAAAGTGGTTGTACAAGTTTACATTCCCACCAGCAATGGAGGAGGGTTCCCCTTTCTCCACATCCTCTCTAGCATGTGTTGTCACTTGAGTTTTTGATCTTAGCCATCCTGAGGGGTGTAAGGTAGAATCTCAGGGTCACTCTGATTTGCATTTCCCTAGCCTGTGGCATTTCAGTCTCCAAGGCGGGGTTCCTAGCTCCTTACTAGGAACCCATGTGCTGTGTCTGACATGAACTCAGTGGCTGTCTGTCTGATCACCTCCCCATAAGCAGGGAGCAGCCTTACCAGGCCACAGAGGAAGACAATGCAGCCAGTCCTGATGAGACCTGATAGACTAGGGTCAGATGGAAGGGGAGGAAGACCTCCCCTATCAGGGGACTGGGGGAAGAGTATGGGAGGAGAAGAGGGAGGGAGGGCAGGATTGGAAGCGGATTAGGGAGGGGGCTACAGTTGGGATACAAAGTAAATAAATTGTAATAAATACAATAAATTAATAAAATTAAAAAGGAGAAAAAATGTACTTTAAAATACTCTTGATTTGGATAGCTAATGTTAGAAGTGTTTTGAAATCTTCAATTTGAGAATAATTTTAAAAATGTAATTTCTGAATGCAACTATTGTTAGATGTAATGAGGACGTGCCCTATCTATCAAATGCCATTGAAAATATTTTACCCCGACTGTCTGATATACACCATGAGAATAAACAACATGCTATGTCAGTCTGGGTGATGGTAGCACATGACTAATCCCAGCACTTGAGAGGCAGATGGATCTCTGAGGTAGAGGTCAGCCTGGTTTACACAGACCATTCCAGGACACTCAGGGCTACACAGAGAAACCCTGTCTTGACCTCTCCCTGAAAAATCAAACAAACAAATAAAAAACAAACAACCAAATAAATAAATATCCATAGTAAAGTGAATTCAGTTTTAAATTTAGGTAGCAGGTGAGTCTAATTCACAAATACTTAACTACAAAAACTAAATCAGTTTTTAATTATTCTGTGTTTTAGGCTTTTAGAGTGGTAACTATTTTACTTCACCTTTTGATTGAAACTGGATGTTCAAGTGACTGCAATAAGCATATTTACAATTCATCTTTAAACATTTCATGGGGTGACGCAGAAACATTTTAATCTGACCTTCAGCCGTATGTCAATTTCTTGAGTTATATAACTTACCCTCTGTTACATTTTGCTATTTCATCAAACAAAAGCCTCCACCGAGGACGTCCAATAAAAAGTCTAGAATTCAGAGTGTGATATTTTTCTCCAATTATCTTCTGTAAGAAAGGAAGGACATACTTTATAAGACACAGCTCTGGATAAATAATGCATTTATCTTACATGAGTTTTTGGCTAGTATCTTTATTCCAAATTCCTGTGACATAAAAAACAAAATGGAAATCTTTGAAGTACAACCATTTCAAAGTGTCACTTTCATTTTCTTTTCCTTTAAAATTTAGTATTATTTTGAATGTCACAAATTTCTGACTTCCCTAGATTTTAGTACTTTGCTTCACTCTTAAAATAAATTTAACATAAGATAAAGAACCCATTCCAGTTCGCATACTAATAAGTAAATTCAAAATTAAATGTCATTCAATGCAGACAGTCCTGATGATACCTGAAAGGCTAGGGTCAGATGGAAGGGCAGGACAAGCCCCCATCAGTGGACTGGGGAAGGGGCTTGGGAGGAGAAGAGGGAGGGAGGGTGTTCTTGGGGTGGTGGTGGCAAGGGAAGGAGCTACAGCTGGGATACAAAGTGAATAAACTGTAATAAACAAAAAAATAAAAAATTTAAGAAATAATTGTCATTGACATATGTTTGTACCTAAGTACACTTGTCACATTAGGCTCATTATATGGGTAAATTAACACAGATTGTCGTTATAACTTTGGAAGGAATAACTCTAAACAAGATTTCCCAAGATAGCAGAGATAAATCTCTAGCCAGTGACTGTTAATGAGCTCTCTCTTGCAAAGACTAAACACTGGTACTTAATTAAGAGTGAACAGTCAGAGAGAAATGACAAGAGGAGAAAGCGTCCGACTTTCAGTTAGGCACTTAGTACCAGATACAATTCTATCTATACCCTACTTACAATTCTTCAGGAACAAATATTACATTTTCTTGCTTCACAACTGTGGTAACATGAAATTAAAACAATACAATAATGACAAAAAGCTTCCAAAATTGATTGGGATAGTTTTGATGTTACTGATAAGCATTCATGTTTTATTTGAAAAAAAAAATTAAAATCGATGGGAAAAAAAAAAGCATTAAAAAAAATCTAAGGGCTTATCCAGGTAGTCATGATGAGACTTAGCAAGGTAGGGACAGTTGGCAATAGTGGAGAAATCCCCCTTTCAGTGGGCTAGGGAAAGGGGGGTAGGAAAAAGAGGGCTTCAATAGGGATATATTATGAATAAATGGTGAAAAAATAAAATTAAAATTAAAAAATCGAAGTGCTTATTTAGTAAAATACTTGCCTTATATGTATAAGGACTTGCGTGAATCCCCAGAGCCCACATAAAAATGCTGAATGAGGTAGCAGTCATTTGTAACAACAGCACAGAAATGGTGAAGTGCTGGGTCCTTGGGGCTCACTGGCCTGGCAGTCTGGCCTAACAGGTGGGTTTCAGGTTAAAGAACTTATCTCAAAATGGGACAACTTCCTTAAGGATGACATCCAAGGTTACACTCTGAGCTCTGAAGGAAATGCATACGTGCACTTTCACATGACACACACACACACACACACACACACACACACACACTACACAGAGTTTAAAAGAAAAGAACTGTAAAAACATTTGCACCAAGATTCATCAAATTAAGCAACTACTTGGTATTTCTAAACATTAGTTTGTTTCACATCAAAACATAGAAACGTGGGCAGAGTGCAGGCAATCTTATGAAAGAAGTAGGAAATAGTAAGACCTGGAGAGAACAGGACTTCCACAAGGACAGCAACAGAACCAAAAAATCTGGGCACAGGGGTCTTTTCTGAGACTAATACTCCAACCAAGGACCACACATATATAGCCCGTGATATATAGCTCAGATATAGCCCATGGCAGCTCAGTGTTCAAGTGGCCTCCATAGTAATGGGGACAGGGACTGTCTCTGACATGAACTGATTGGCCTGCTCTTTGATCACCTCCCCTTCAGGCGGGTGCAGCCTTACCAGGTCACAGAGGAAGACAATGCAGCCAGTCCTGATGAGACCTGATAGACTAGGATCAGAAGGAAGGAGAGGGGGACCTCCCTTATCAGTGGACTGGGGAAGTGGCATGGGTGGAGAAAAGGGAGGGGAGGGCAAGTGGTTTTGGGAGAGGAGGAGGAAGGGAGCTACAGGTGGGATACAAAGTGAATAAACTGTAATTAATTTAAAAAAAACATAGAAACATAGGCATTGCTCCAATTAGTTGAGATCACATAAAATGATGTGTGGAAAATTCTCAGCATAGTCTCTCTTTACAGCAAACAAGGCATGGTAACTGTTTCTATGCTCGATTCCTCTGTGATGCACTAAGTTTAATTATGTATCTTTTCTCATCATAGAAACCTTCCTTCCATGGAAAAAGGATCACAACATTGTGTTCATGCATTGCTTGATGTCTCGCCAGAGACACAGACCTCGAAACAGCTCTAAGGAGGAGTGGTGGAATCAAAAGGTTTACTTCAGCATGCTGTGAGGAGAACGGAAAGTAACAACAGGGTTGTTGCCAAGGACAAGCTACGCGTTTTCTGGAAGTATCCCGACAGAGGCTTTCCTCTGGACACTTCTGCTGAAACCTCCTGCAGAAATTTTCTTCCAGCACGGATCTTACAGTAAATCTTCTATCACCTAGAGGCTCATTTAATCAACAATAGCGTGCAGCCACATACCTGCAGCCCATCTGTTTGACTGAGGTACAGCTGGATGTTCACGTAGTCAGGTCTGTTTTCTTGCCAAAACTGAGAAAGCATGAAAACGAATAGACTCATTTAAATCCTCAGAGTTTCTACCCAGCATATGTGATTCTATCATGCAATAGATAATTTGGCTTATCACAGTGAATATTTAAGATAAAATAAAAGTACGCAGGGAAGTGATAGGTGATTAATGAATAGACAGACAGATGCACAAGTTTTTACATTCGTAAGTTGCTCTGATCGACTGGTAAAATACAGTGGTGATGATTGTAGAAGAAAACATTGCATACATGTAAAGATACACAATAAATCATGCTAGGCACTGTATTATTTCTCGAGGTTCCCCCCCCCAACATCCTTTATTTTATTCTCTAAGACCCCTTAAATTTTTACCCATGCCTTAAGTCACCAATAAACAAATTTTTCATTAAAAAAGAGACAACAGGGATACAGGATATCCATGATAGGAAAATAAATAAAAATTAGACACGTCCCCTCGCCTCAAACTCGTTCATTGCTGATTTTCCTCAAATAAAAATATGAGACAAGAAATACATTTACAAAGATGTAATCTAGAAAATGTAAAAGAATAGCCTTTCTTTCCCTCTCTCACCCAGAAGCTATTATGCTACATTAACTAACTAAAAAGTAAACTATTCCAAGTACCTAATGTAAATGGTGTCATAAAATATTTGCCCCTTTATATTTGTCTAACATGTACCACTTCAATTATCATAGTATTTATAAGGTCCACCCAAGTTTTAGCATGTATCAGAATTCTTTTTCAGCTTAAATGATTTTATTATATCTGTATTTTGTTTTTTCATCAGGCATATATATATATATATATATATGGTGTTTGCATGTTTAAGATGTTGTGAATAATTCTAGGAACACCTGTGTACAAGTCCACATCTTCAATAATACTAAGTCTGTATTCAAAACTCTTTTTTTTTCTAATATTAAGCCTACAAGCCTTCTGCAATCTACCTCGCCTAGAACACTACACAGATGCATGCATGCAACCCACATGGACACACCCCGTGTGTATGTGCACACGCATACCACTCTCTAGCTGCACCTCTTACCTCTGCTTACTTTGCTACACACCTTCCTCCTCTTTTTCCATTGCACCAAGCATATGACGGCATCAGAGCACTTCTTGGAAAGTTAGGTTGACTGTCTTGAATTTGATCTAAAGACACTTGACCAGCCAATCCACCCGAGACTGTATCCCCACAGCATCTGGATTGGTGGACACTCCTGAACACACTCCTCAAGTCAACAGACCCTCTGTAGATAACACTGATATATTTCTATTTTCCTTTTCTTTTTGGCTCAAGTTGATCTCATAATCAGACATCCGTTATACATTCTGGTTTAGGTGTCTATATCTTTAGATCCTAAGGCATATACTAATTCCCATGCTGATGCTAAAATGACTAGTTCCATGAAGAAAAAAAAATGTTGTAGCAAAGCATGTAAGTAATCACTGAAGCTCTTTTTTACAGTCACAAAGTAGCCAACAGTAAGGAACTGGTAAGCGAATTAGATACAATGAGTCAAGGGTTCTCCACATTAGTAGAGACATTGAATTGATTGTATTCTCGCCCCTAGAAAAACAATATTTAAGATGGAGCAATTAAGTTTAAAAAAATGAGGAAAATTATAAATGATATGCTAGAACTTTCATAATTCCAGTGACACACACTTGGCAGGTAAATTGATAACAGACTTTACATTACTAGTTTTACTTGGAACTATTTGTAGTACATATTTCACATGTGTAATACTTGTATGAGCTTTAATTATATAATTTAATAAATATAGATATACATGAATACAAAGTATTACAGGTAGTACAGGTGAAGAATGCATACTATCATTTCTGGGTAAGAAATTAAAAAAAAACTTTTTATTTTTAATACTGTATAGTAGATCAAGAAACCTGCTGACTATAATATTAAAAAATAATATGGGGCAAATTTATTACAACAGAGCTTAGAAGATACTGTGGTAACTGTGAAAGTCCCTTTGTCTCTTTTCTCTCATCACCTCTAGTCATGTGTATAAACATTATGTGAAAGTGGAGAAATGAGTGTTCAAGTCTGTCATAGAAACACACATACATTAACCAAACATCTGAAACATGCATTTATTTTTATTAGATGTTACCTCTGGTTTTAGATTTAAGAGATCTTTTTATTCTATAGTGAGCATTTCTTGCTTTTAAAATATGAAAATAAATACAGTTTCAGAAATGATAAAACTAAAAAAAATAATAGCCACCTTGATATTACCTTATTATGCAACATACAGAGCAAATCTGCAAACCACTGGAATGACTGGATGTCTCTGCACACCCAGATAAAGTACAGTCTTCTTAGCTTGTATGGTTTCCAGTCATCCCTTTAAAATCAATGTAATGAAGCTGTGACTATAATTGGATAAACAATGCAAAATTCACCTATCTTGAACAGTTGCTTTTTGTTCATAAGGAACCAATAAGAAAAAAACAAATAAACCCCAAACTCAGCCAATTTTAGGCCAGCATTTACCATTACTCTCAAATAAATATGGTACACAATACAGACTACGATGTCATCAATTACTATATTTGTCAGTATTATACACACATCACCTGTTTCAACTTCAAGACCATAAACTGAACTCTTGGATCAGAAAACATTAGCTCATGAGTCTCAGAAAAACAAGTTCTCAATTTCAGTGAACTGTATCTTTGTGCAGGGATCAAAAGGTCATTTGCTCTTGCCCTCACTTTTAGGCAAAACCATTCCAGAAACTTGGTTGTTTATCCCACTCTTAATAATCATTTAAGCAAGATTTCACAACCACAAACTATGTAATATCTTCCAGTCACTTTTGGTTCCAAGTCTGGATGCCTACTTATGACTGTGAGGTAGACTTGAGGTTAAAAAAATGTTCCCTTTTAAATAATACTAAGTATCAAAATAACTTGTAATGTGTTGTCAGAAACAAATGATTTCTGGATTGGAACACGATTATATTTGTAAGAGTATGAAACATGTCTCCAAATCACATCTAATATAATTTTGAAAATGAAATAAAATATTCAAAATTATCATTAATTTCTTTTTTGTTTTTCTAGACAAGGCCTAGCTATTTTAGCCCAAGTTTGTCTTAAACTCATGATCCTCTCAACTAAGCCAAAAGAGTGTTTTATTTCTTTTTCTCTTTTACTACTTCCTCAAACATTTTAGTATAAATTTTGTCTACTTGAGAAGTGAATGGAAGCGATCTGGGAACACCTTCTTACTGTCACTTTGTGTTTTTATTGTAATGAATTGACTTAAGTTTATAATCTTGGAATTAAAATGCTGAGAGTATTTCCCAGTTGGGCAGTCTCAACTTTGACATTTCTTTTCTTCAGTCTGTTGCAAATTTGCTCATAAATGGAGAAATGAGGTGATGAAGTATTCATCATCTTCTCATAAAAGCATTCCACAAACATATTCTTACAATCACCCAGACATTTGTTTCTATAATTTATTCACCCTTTACTAACTTATAATTTTTCTTTTATTAATTTCTTTCAAACATATACATAATGCATCCTGATTATTCTCCACCCCAATCCTATCATCTCTCCCTCCATCACCATAAGCTTATCCTGCTACTTCCCTGTTAATCTCTTTCCCAGATTCATGACTTTTGGTGTTGATCTGTGACCTGTTTATTTAACCCAAGGCCACATGATCACAAGATTGAACTAATCATCAGTGTGGTGGGGTCATCAGTGATCTTCAAATTGCAGCAATGAGTCTCCCTATCCCCGTCTATCTCCCTATCCCTATCTATCAGCAGCATGTGGTTTGGGAATGAATGGTGGGACCGCCAGAGCCTCTCTCTACTCATGTGTGACTGCTGCTGTGCTCGTTCATCTGCAGACCCAGAGGAGGCATGACTGCAATGGTTCTGTGTCATGCGGAAGATGACATTTCCAGACTTTTCTCTACAGTCTGTTTCCTTTCTGCCTCCCTCTACCAAGATATTCTCTGATCTTTAGAGATCTTTTCTTTGTATTTGATATTTTCAGATAAAACCCATCTTATTAAGTTCTTACTACTTAATTTCTAAGTTGCCCCAATGGAATGTGGACTTTTTGTAGAAAGAGTGTATGAGTTTTTTGTTTCGTTTTGTTTTTGTTGTTCATTATTTTATTCCTAATAACTCAAAAATTAATTGGCGCAAGAGCACACCAGAATATTGACCACATAAATGAACAGTGACAGCACTGGGAGAATGTCAAGAAAAAAGGCTGAAGGTGAGTAAGTATTAATAGGAAAAGGGTTTCCTTTTTACAAGGAGCATGCTGGGAGCAACAAACTATGTATTGAGGGTTACTGAATTATTTCCTTCACCAATTAGAAAATGGAATTTCTTAAAGAGTAAGTGAGAAAACTCTGTAAATAACCACTTCATATGTAAACTATAGGTCCTTGAATATTAGCATTTCTCTATTTGGAGTAATAGAATGTATCAAAATGACATACAGCAGCGTGTTTAGTATTGAGGCAAAAGGAGTGGCCCCAATGCCTCCAGCCACACAGAAGCTAACTTCATAGTTCAGCGACTCCTCAAATGGGCTTCCAAATGGACCATCAACGTACACCCTATAGAGAAGGCAGACAAAGTTTGAAAAAATAAGTTAATTTTTTCTAACAACCACACTGAATTCAAAATCTATACATAGTGATAGCTTCGGTCTTATTTTGTTGTTTTTTGTAGTCTAGAGGAATAAGCAATTTGTTTTGAACTGTTGATAGTAAGATAAAAACTTCCTTCTATTTTTAAGTTAACTAAAAGTTTAGGTAAGTATAGTGAGAATGATATGTTGAAGCTTTGATGATATTCCACTGTGGTAACTGACAAAATGAAAATACTAGTAAGCTCACTATGTTGAAAGTGAATAGTTTATCTTTCAGGAGAAAATACTCTAGCAGACATGTTTTCTCACATATGCAGTATGGGAACAGAAAATAGCAGGAAGAGGAGTCATCTAACGTTGTTCCTTCTCTTGCAAGGATAGGAAGTACTGAAGAAATCACAAAGGAAATTGTCCTTACTCTCTGTGTTCTTTAAGTGTGTGTGTGTGTGTGTGTGTGTGTGTGTGTGTGTGCATGTGTGTAATACAGAACCATCCCTTACTGAAAACAGAAATTGGGAATTATCCACTTCAAATCCATCCTTCTTTTCTTAGTAGCAGGACATTAATTTTATTCGGGGAAGCAAATGTCTAGCCAAAACACATTTCTCAGATTCCATTCATCTGTTTTGACTGTGTGGCAATTTTGGCAGAGGTAAGAAGCCATCTCACTTGGATGTTGTGACTCTCTTCCACTTCATCTTTCTCACTGCGTCCCTGATGTCTGAAATACTCATTTTATAGTCAAATTAGTTATCAGTGATTAGTGTAGAATGACTATACTTACAGTTTGTTTCAGACATCTTGGTAGGCAAGAAAGATAGACACAATGTATATGAGACACTGCCATTTTTTTAAAAACTATTTTTCAAGGACATCTTTTCAAACAGTATATGTTTTCAAACTTTATAAAAA